CAGGGAAGTTTGAAGGCTAGATGGCGTAAAAAGTCCCACAATGGGGTACTTACTACTATTTATAGTAGTGGGAAAAATCCCCAATAACGAGGACATTAAATGCCATTTAATGCTGCAGGAGTTAGTGGGACGCGTGGCAGCCCCCTGTTGTTTTGGCCGTTTCTGCAGAAATAGAAGGACGCAGCGTGCGTCCTCGTTTTTGGGAATTGTCATAATGACAAATTCTGAAATGACGTTTGGTACTGCACGCCGTACTGAAAGTGACGTCCTAGGATCAAATCAATGATGGTTTTCTTGGGATTGCCAATAGTTGGTAAAAAGCAACAAAAAGTGCACAAGTTAATTTGTGACTAAGCGTGGAAAGACAGGTGTCGAATGGCGTTTCAAAGAATGCCTTTTTCTTTCAGAGTCGAAATAAGGCATTCTTGGGGGGCAATTTGTTGGCTCCTAAATTCGACACCTTTGTTTTGATTGATGTCAGCCATTAAAGCTGAAAGATGTCTTCGACTGGTTAAGTCTGTCGAAGTGCCCGTCGAAAGATGGCAAAGTACTTAGAAGATTTCTTCCAAGGAAGAAGGCTGGTTGCCTTCGACGTCGAAGGAGTTTTTCGTCGAAGATGTCTCTTGACGAAAGTGTTCGACGGTTCAGGGTGAAGCAGTTTGAAATTCAAAGCTTTTGGAGGGAAAACGGTTTCCAGCAGTTACTACGTGCAAACGTGCAAGGATCTGGAGCGTCGAGCATGGAGAACGTGCCAAGTGGATTGATCTCGAAGCAGTGTAACTGCCCGACGGTTACTTGGGATGTTTTAGTATAAATAGGAGTAGACATGTAGTTTCTCGCGTGTGTTCACAATTCTATACAAAGTCACTCATATAGATTCGAGTACCCAGCGTGTGAGAAAGAATTGTTGAGAAATGTATGTGTGAAACACCAATTTTATCAATTAAAGTCATTTACTTTTCCAGAAATTTACTTGCTTTCTCCTTTACATTCTTGTCGAACCTTTTACTTTAAAGCCTTGTTTATTTTACCAAGTCTTTCCTTTATGCAATTCATTTAAAGCCAATTTATTTAAAGCCTTATCCAATTCAATCAAACTTCAAAATCAACCTATGTCCTAGGATCAATCTGATCGATCCTGCGAGTAACCAAATAAGTAACCATTTGGAGGATCAGCGGTTGTTTACCAAAACCCAAGGTAAACACCCATTAACTCACCATTACTTTCCTCCTAAAAAACAACATCATCAATACATACTTCTTCAACTTTGTGTTCTACATAGATGTCAACTAGTTAAAATCCTCTAACATCTTTCACCAACCTTAACACATCATTCTCACTATTCAGAGGTCAAAGTCCACGTGAAAAGGAAAAGTTGGAATTCCAATACCATATGCACTTTATGTTACAATACCCCTATGCTTCGATCAAGTCTTTAATTTGCATATACGACAGGAAATCCACATCACAATCTCAATCCATTTCAGTAACAACCTCACCAACATACAACTTCACTGGGTTATTTATAAAATGTCCCCAATGGTGTAATCTCAGTATGACAAGTTAGGTGTCAGATGACCTGCAACAAAATATAACATGCAAGATTCACACAGATATTAAAGACCACAACATAGACAAATCACATAAAATAATCAGTAAAGGCAATATAACATAAAGAAATCGGGGATGAGACCATAACAACAACATGAAGAATACTGGGATGGGACCACAACATCAAACAAAAACCCTAGCCTAAACCATAACATCAACATAAAGAAGAGATACGAACACAACAACACCTACCTTGTCACGTAGCTTGGATTTTCCATTGATGAGCTGCACGAAGAGAATGATGATTTACAATGGCGATTTAGGGTTCTTTGGTCACATATGATGAAAGATGAGCAAATACAGAGAGTAGAGCAAGTTCTTGTTTTGAGATGTCATTTTTGAGAATTGAAATGGTTCTTTACTTCTGCAATTAATATAATATTGACTTATTTGCATAAATTAAACATTAAAATACTTATGGAATTACAAAACTGAATTATATGCCATGGAACTAACACATCATCAAAAATAATGTCATGTCATACAAAAACGCACCCAGATTTGAAGGGGGACCAATTTTATTTTTTATAATATCAATAAAAGTGATTTCTATTTGCAATATATATATATATATATATATATATATATATATATATATATATATATATATATATATATATATATATATATATATATATATATATATATATATATATATATATATATATATATATATATATATAAGTTTAATTGCTATATACTGTCAGTGTAAATATTTTTACACTATCAATATATCATAACCACTCAACTTTATTATTTAAAAAAAAATTAAAATCAAAATCAAATATTTTAAATAATTCAACGATTATAATTCACTGACGGTGTAAAATTGTTTTACATCCTCAATATATATATATATATATATATTTGAATTATTAATTAGTTAATTATTATTTTTTAATATTAAAGTACTTAAAAAAATGAGAAGCCGCTACGTTAAAGTTGAAAGTGAAGGACACACTTTAATACGAGAAAAATGCAACGTAACGACGTCGTGTAACCCGTCGAGTCAAGTAGAGTAAGCCTTTGACAGCGTGAAGACAGAGAAGACCACTGTCAACAGCGCCGCGCATTAGAAAAGAACCACAACCAAATCCACTAAATATCCTCCACGTGTCCTTTCTCACCATACTCGAACCGCACAATCTCGATAAAAACCGGGTTTCACAAAATCACACAAATCATAAATAAACAGTAGAATATCTTTTTGACTGAATTAATTTAAAAAGTATTAAAATCACATTTTATTTGTTTCCAATTTCCATCGAATAAAAACACCGCGTCTTGCATCGCTCCGTTTCGTGTCGCCTCTTGGCGGTTTTAACCTTTTTTTTTTTTCTCTCTTTCGGTTTCGAACATTCACTCTCTCACTCTTCTCTCTTCTCTCTTCTCTCTTCTCTCTCTCTCTCTCTCTATCTCTTCAATTCACCACTGTGACAGATTCCATTTCCAAACCTAGTTCTTCATCTTCTTCCCTAAGGTTAGATCTCGATCTTCACTCTCTTCTTATTTTTATCATTTCGCTTTTTATTTTCTCTGTTTATGGATCGAGTGATTCGTTCGAGGTTGTTTTACTTCAATAATGTTCGTTTTTTTTTTGTTTCGATTTCGTTCTGAGTTTCTGCTATCTCAATAACTTTGCATGCAGTTTTTCAGTTTACTAATCGGTTGCTTCGTTACCGCAGCGCAGTAGTGTTTTTCACTGTTTTTATTTTTACTCCATGTCAATCGGAGGCTTAACATTTTTCCGAGAAACATGTAGCTGGTTTTGATGTTTATTAAGATGTTGTTCGCATAATGCTGTCAATTGAAAGTTCCCTTTAGCATTGTGGTCATTTCAGTCAGTATTAGTGTGGCTGAGTGTGTTGTCTGAAGCAAAAAATGTTGATTGTATTTTGATCTTCAATTTTGTAAGGTTACTGGAATTTGATAAATGTAGTCCCTGGAAGTAAAAACCGTCGATCAATTTAGTCGTTCTGTCAAATAGTTCAATAAGTTCTGATGAATCAGGATCATGAGAAATAGATTTATTGGAGGATTAACCGGGTTTCTGGAAACGTGTTTTAGCTGATTGTGCCCTAAGCAATGTGTTGGCTCAGCATTTCTAACTACATTTGATGACAGAGACTAAATTGATTGATGATGGTTTTCGATTTCAGGGATTAATTTTGCATTTCATAAATTTAACAAACTACATTGTCTAATAAAGCCTTACAATTTTGTGGAATAAAATGGTACTTAAAAACTGTTATGGGTGAGACAATATCAATAAGTTTTGTGTCAGTAATATTTTTGTGTGTCCTCTGTATGCTGGGGGAAAGTGTGGTTGTAATCCATTGATTTTTTGTGTGAAAAGATAAACACTGACGAAAAGCTAGTAGGTAGTCCGAGATATGAAAATTGTGAATTGGTTTATCAGGTCAGAGAGCTTTCTGGGAATTATTTTAGAAGTGAAATAGATGAGCTTTTGTTTTGGTTCTAACTTCTAATATATGGGTTCTTGGTGTTATGCTCTCTTGATTTGAGGAGATCAGTTTACGGTATTGCTTATGGACCTGATTTGAGGAGATCAGTTTACGGTATTGCTTATGGACCTGATTTGAGGAGATCAGTTTACGGTATTGCTTATGGACCTGATTTGAGGAGATCAGTTTACGGTATCATTTCCGATGATTAATGTTAGTGATATCCTGTCTGGCAATAAAGGCTGAAAGTGATTGAGGACAAGGGCTGTCCCTGCAAGATGTATTGGTCCTCGGATAAGCATGTGGGCTTAAGGTAAAGTGGATGGATCCTTAGATGCAACAACTAGGATCCATAGATTTGTTTGTGTAGATGGAATGGTGGTGCATAAGTAGAGGTCCTCCCGATCTAATACAGCAGAAATGCAGTTACAGAGGTTGGTCCTTCGTATGGAAAAGGCTTATCTCGGGTTGGTGGGAAATGGTGTCTAATCCCATGTAATCAGGTTTTAGCCATGCAGGGCCATAACAATCACTATAAAAAACAAAATTTGTATACACATATTTTTGTCTCGGGATATACAGATTAGCTGGTCTGAAGCTACATGCTTCCAAACAGTATTATATGAACGGCGAAAACAATTCTTCATTTTATTGCATTTCATTTAGGTTTACGCCAACAGTTTTACCGCATGCTTATTATTTCCAAGTTTCTGCTCTACAGTTTGTTTACGTGCAATGTATATATCTTTTACTCATGAGTGTTATTTTGCTTTTTTAGTTATGCACACATACATGTTAATGTTATAGCATGCTTCTGTTCTTGTCTTCATAAACAATTGTCTTATGTGGGGGTACAAACAGGAGAAAAAAAGTGTAAACTAATGCATGTTGAAATTGTAGGATAATATTCCAGAGAGTATGCGATGGATCGGGAAGAATATCTGCGGAAGTGTTCCAATATGAAATGCCAAAGAGTAAGGATTTAAGTTATTATTTTCACACCTTTAAGCTAATTGATCATATAACCAACATTGTTAAATAGCGGAATTTAAACGAATTGATATTGTTCCTCTCCTCTTTACACTATTTAGTACAAAATGTTGTCATATAGTGGCTATAGAAGTGCTATAGCACTGTTTTGCAGCGGAACTTTTACAAACTGCTATTTTCTGCGATTCACGATTGACGATAGTGCATTAACCTATCATATCTATTCCCATTTTCCCATATTTTTCCACATTTGAGCAAGTATCTAAGTTGTTGATGTATGATTATCTATCTCGTAAGTCGTAACTGGATCTAATTTTGGAAGTTATAAATTATTTTGGGATTAAGTGGGACTATGATTGCAGCTATTGTAGTTCACATTTCATGGATGGAAATAGTTCATCACCGTGATTCATGTGTTCTGATGACTATTCCAATTTTCACGTGTTTGGGTATGCTATAGAGATTTTATGATTGTACAACGTTAATATGCTATTTGAGGCTAAATCATTGCTATATACTTTGAGAACTTCATTCAATTTGTTAAGAGTTTATTGTTGGAAAATGTGTCAAATGGGAGATTGTTGAATTATGCAAGATGGTGTATAGTCATTGTAGGGAATTTTATTCAACTTATATGGCTGCTCTATACTGTAGGATCCATATATATGCACAATGTGAATAATTAATTTAGTGTTTTATCTTTGTTCCGTACCGGTTGACCTCAAGTCTGCGCCAACCCGGTAGAGTTGCCCCCAGTTGAGGCTAAGGTGCATGGTGTGAACGTCGAGTTCCCACATAAGGCTCCAATGTTTCGTATTGGTCGACCTCAAGTCCGTGCCACTGCGGCTACGAGGTATTGTCTTGGGTGTGAGAACCCTCACGGCTTTGACCTTTAGAAAAGGTGCCTCGTTGGGTTTAGGTGATGGGTGTTGTATATAAGCTACCCGGAACAGTCTTAATTCAATATACTAGATCTTCGCAACAATGTTATCAAAATCGCGATCTAGATCGTGGAATTGCACGATTTTGCGATCTCAACCACCTCCATCGATCTAGATCGCAAGCAAGATCGTTCAATAGCAGAAATCACAGCAAAAATCATGGTTTTGGTAAACAGATTGTGAAATCACACGATTTTTAAGAAGTATTTCAGAATCTTGAGCTTTAAATACCGGGGTCAATTGCGACCCAATTTGCAACCCGATGTTACTCATTTTGCGTTTTTGCTCGTTCCGTAATGAAACCTTCAAACTTCGTTTTTGTCTACACCTGCATTTTCATTTTCGTTTACCTGCGTTTTCAATTTTATCTTCTGAAACTTCTTTAAATTTGTTCTTCATCTTCTAGTTTGTTTTTGTTTTCTTTTTCCTTTTGTTTTTGAAAAAAACATTTTACATAAGTAATTTTACAGTCACGTGATAGGTAAGCTTTTTTGAATTGGCTTTATCACAAAATAATCTTTCTCTTGTGAAGTGTGACCAACACGACAACACAAACAGGCCATCACACATACCTCCTTTTTCTTTTATTTTATTTTTGTTTGGAAAATTTAATGATGAACACTCCAGTATCCTTGAATTTAGTTGGGTACTGGTACCCTCATCCAATCTAACAAGATTATTTATTGCCATGTCACCTTTTAAATTATTTTATTTTAAATTAAATTGAATTTTTTAATTAATTTGCATTAAAGGTACCTATATCCAACTACTTATCATGGGTACCTAAGAATTTGTCAAATTTAATTAGTAGTAATTTTATTTTTAATATTTTTTTATAACTTTTATATCTTTTCTTTTTAATTTTTTATACATGTATTTTTAAGTATATATAATATAATATATATTTAGTATTATTTTGATTTTGGTAATATCTACGATTTCATGTTTTACGATTTTAATACTCCTTATCGATTCTATAGAAATAAATGACTAGAATCTTTCTTCCGATTTTATATTTTACGATTTTGATATCCTCTTCCGATTTTATGTAAGATCTCGATTCTGACAACATTGCTTCGCAAGCTTCATATTTTGAAATAAGTGTTTTTAATTTGTTTATATTTTGAAATAAGCTTTATTTATGTCATTTATTCTTATTGACTTTATCTTTTGCTATTTAAGTAAACTGTAAGTGTCAATATGATAGTGCTTAAAGCATATTATTTATGAAATGTTTTTGAATTTTCCTAGGTTCAGGTGGATGAATCATACGTGCCTTCCTTTCAAGATGATGGGATGGAAATTGAGCATTTGCTTGAAGAACCTAGAAGTGATCATGTTTCATTGGATGGTATGTTGTATTTTACCGAGACTAATTTTTGATGATTCTGAATTCTCAATTGACTAAAAATTTTTCTTTTTGATTCTGTCACTTGAAGTTCATTTAATAGTAAATGGAGTTTTAGTTTGACTATTTGTGTTGATATTTTTTATTTTGCCTGTATCTTGTTGCTGAACAATGTGATAAGTGAAGTAAAATAATAAGGTATAAAATGGAAGAGGAAGCAAGCTTTATGAGAGACTGAATATTGTTGATGGTGATTGCTTAGGAGTTCACAACTAATGTTGCATCTTCGAAGAATCAAATATTTTCTTTACATTTAAAATATTATGTTTGGTTGATAACTTATGGTTGTTAAAGCTGTGTTGGCATTTTCTCATATAATATTTTCTTTCAAGCTTTGGTAGTACTTTCCTATTTGCTTGTGATGTTATATCTCACCTTGTGTTCATATGTTTACCAGGCAGTTTAGCTTCTGACACAGCTTTGACAGACAAGAATGATTTGGAACTGGAGGTACTTGTCTAAACTCGGTTACTATTGGGGTGATATTGAAGCTAGTAGTTCATGTACTTTTCAATTTAATCTGCATATATTAATTACTTGTTGCTTGAGTCTCTATCCTTGTGCATAATCTAATGTCAATTGCATGATATTTCCATGTTTCTGTTTAAACTGTTGTGTCCTTTTGTGTGGGTGTGAATGTCTTTGATAAAATATACTGTTAGGTCCTTGATGGATTCCTGGGTGAGGGATTCCTGGATGATGTTGACATCAATGATCTTGAAGGAGCTGATGGTTTCACCGATGTATCTGGAGGGTATTTCTTAGGTAAAATTATCAACTATCAGGATACTATCTTTTCTATGATGCTTTCGTAGGAAAAAAGGATTAGTTTTTGTTTCCTCTTTTTAGTCACTCCTTTCTGTTTTTCACATTATATATATTTTTTTCAAATCTTCAGATTTTGATTTTGCCAAAGTTGAGTTACTAGGCTCCGGTGCTTATGAAGACTCACTTTTGGAAAACTCAAATTCGGAAAGTCAATCTCCAGGATTAAGTGGAAGTAGCACTGTTGGTGGAATATCAGAATCAGCAAAAGCACCCAATAGTACACTATCTGAATGCAAAATTGAATCTCTAGAGGAGACAGTCACCCATGATACACATGGTGTTTTCAGGAACAATCCAAGTCAACCATCAAATGTAGGTTGCATGTACAACATTTCACTTGATATACAGCATCTGCATGAGCTGAATAATGGTTATCCTTTAGGTGGCAGTATGTTGTCTTGTAAGACAGAAAATGTTACTGTTGAAAATTGCCAATCTGCTCCACCTAGAGAGAAGAGATTCCGAAAGCCTACTAAGAGGTATATTGAAGAATCTTCAAATTCGAAGTCAAAAGAAAAAGTACCAACTACAGGTGCAAAATACAAACGACGGAGCCTGTCATCATGTAATGAACTTACAAAAATTAAAGGATTGAAGAATATTCCAAGCGAAAAGTCTAGTAATGGTAATAGTGATGTAACGCCTACCGAGTTGCAACGCTGCAAGAAGCTGCCAAAGAAAGAGGTATGTTTTTCTTTTTGGGGCATTCATTTTCTCGAGTAAATGAAGATTTTTTCTGAATAGCCTCCTCCCCTTTTGAAGTCAGAGGGAGAGATAATTATTCTTTAGTTGTATCTGTATAATTATGTATTTTTTAGTTTTATGTTTTCTATCTTCTGGTTTTGGATACTTTTGTTTGATAACCATATTTGATGGTCATTGCGATTTTTGTATAAATTTTATTTGTCGTTGTATTCCTGGTAAATCTAGTCGAATGACTCCTGATGTATTGATTTGTGAAGTTTGTTTTAATATTTATGTTCGACATGAATTTGCTTTGTTATGCTTCCCTCCTCTCTTTGCTCGAAGTGGTGCTTGGCTTGTCTGTACATATTTTGCAGTCACAGAGAATCATTAATTATCTTAATTGTGGCAGTACATTCTTGTATCATTGAAGCATGGTGTTCAAGTATAAATTCTGCTGTTCTGAATGTCTAAAACTGATTTTGTAATTGGACAAATTGGAACGGAATGTTTCCATGGTTACAGTTTGTGTGTTTCATACATGATTAAGTTCTTATATTGTGAAATTGAAGTTTAGAGATGATAATCGCATATCAATACACTTGCCTTATATTCGTGTCCAGGTCTGCTTGTCTAAATTATTCTTCATTGTTTTTTTTTTTTTGTAGGAACTTGAGTATGACAATGAGTCTTTTTCCTCGGAGGAGTTTGAGGACGAGTTTGAGGAAGAGTTTGAGGATGAACGTTCGCCACCAAAAAGAAGTAGATCAAAAGATCGAAGAAAGCATCAAAGGATGTGGACAACCGCCGAAGTGACGAAGTTGGTTGATGGCATATCTGAATATGGAGTTGGTCGATGGACTGATATACAGAGATTTCTATTTTCGGCTTCAGGCTACCGAACTCCCACAGATATCAGGGTACTTTACTGAACTTTACGGATTCAGTTGTTACCTTTCTTCCAAATGTGTTTCCTAAATACTCCCTCTGTCTCAAAATAATTGTCTTTCTAGCCTCAAAAAATTGTCTCAAAATAATAGTCTCTTTACTTTTCCAATGCATTTATAATTAACTTTTACCAATTTTGCCCTTTGTATACACTCTTTCTAAGTATGACAATGTACTACAACCAATAATAATAAAGGGTAATTTTGTAAAAATGTTAACTTTTATTGACTCAATCATTACTTTTCTTAATCTCCGTGTAACAACTTTAAACGACTATTATTCTGAGACGGAGGGAGTATGATTTATGCAGGACAAGTGGCGTAACCTTCTCCGAGCCAGTTCTGCACAGAAATTCATCCAGAAAGAGGTTAGCTTTCTATTTTCCTTTTCTGAAAGCTACTTTTGTAAATCTGCGATATTTCTGATGTAAATTATTTTGAGGATAAGTTAATGTGAACAATCATTTGGTGATTGTAGGGTGAGGAAAATGACAAGATTGCCCCGAGGGCCTTACCTTTCAGTGTGGCAAGCCGAGTGCTGGAATTGGCTAAAATTCACCCATACCCAAAGCGACGAAACTCGAAGAGATCGTTTGATAGTCAAGTCGGCTCTTCTGTCACAGCCAGTCAAAGCAGTGGTTCTTCTATTAGTCTTGGCAGAAGAAATGTCCGTAGGAAGAATTGTACTTAGAAGCAAAACTTCATGTGTAAAACTGTCCAGTGAATCATAGTCAAAAGAATCTTGGTTGAATTTTAGGTATAACATTTGCACAATTTTGTACTTTCAAGTAATTTCTGCTTGTATATCTACAGAGCATAGATTTTTCAAATTGTAAACTTAAGGAATCATTGGTTAGCTTACAGAAGTTTGCAATCTTTAAGGCCAAACCAGTATTATGTTAAGGTTTGCAGAGGTTTATTATATTGTTTCTGATTGCTTGGTATTGTTGGATGAAATGCCTTTGCTTTAGAAAAACACCTTTAAATTTGGGCAAACTAAAATTTTGTAACTCTTTTTTTTGGTTAGGAAAAAATATTTTTATAAACTGAATACTTTTTTAAAACTTTACCGTCCAAATTAAAATTTCAAAATATAAAATATTGCATTCTAAAAACTTGAGGCTCAGATTCGGTTTAATTATGATAGTTTTCTCTGTTTTCAATTTTGTAATTTTTTGAAAATAATAAAAATGTTAAAAAGTTAATTTATTATATTTAGAAATTATTCATCTTTAACTAATATTTCATGAACTCTTCGTCGCTTTAAAAATTCCATGTCTTCGTATTTGCAAGTTTAAGTGAATACTTATTTATGAATTTTTTTTAATGACACGGGGCTTTTTAGAATTTAACCTTTCATCCTCACACTATTAATGTTTTTACCGTATTGCCTTTTAAAAATAATTCTATTTTTGAAAAGTATTGACAATTATTAGATTTTTCAAAAGAGTATCATAAACTGAAGGAATATCACAAATTTTCAAAGTTTATGATAAAAAAACATTTTTTTCAGAAATTTTAGTTTTTTCAAAATATCTAAATGCATGTATATTGGATAATCTAAAAAATATGGTAACCTATATTACATACAAGATATTTTGAAAATTCTAATACATATTAAAACTTTCTGATATTTTAAAAAATCCGAGAGACAATAGTGAGTTTTGAAATTCTATTAAATTTTTGATATTTTTAATAAAATAATTAGACAATTAATCCAGTAAAAAAAAAAAAACACATATATATATATATATATATATATATATATATATATATATATATATATATATATATATATATATATATATATATATATATATATATATATATATATATATATATATATATATATATATATATATATATATATATATATATATATATATATATATATATATATATATATATATAAAATATAAAATGTACTATTAATATCAATATAAAATAAATTATGTTAACTTCAAAACTTCTTTCTAGTGTCTTATATGTCTCACATGTTATTTTCCACACTCTTGTACCTTCACTATAGTTCTGTCTCCATCAGTTAATGGCGGAAGACAATAGATAATTAAGTTTCAACCATCTGAATCTAATGATCATTGTTAACAAAATCAATTGCAATAATCTTATGTCTATTCACAACTATGCACAGATATAGCACACATGAAAAAAATGATGTTAAGGTTCCGGGACAACGAGACCAATATGATACCGTATCTAGAAGCAATAGGATAATCCATGTGAGGAATCGTCATTCACTTCTCACGACCTTGCACACCTAAGCTAACTACTCACAACAAACTCCTAACTTCAGATACTATGTCATAGAACACATTGAAGTATATTTGATGGTGTTGATAAACTTCGACATCTAACTACGTCTGAACCAAAGGCCACGACTCTTTTCCCCATCCAAGTAAAACTGCAATAGCACAGAAACTATAATTTCCCTCTTGACCCACATCAACAATGTCATCAATGTACCGATGTTAGAAAATTAGAAACTAAGACAAGCAAAGAAGTTTGGAAAATTGGCTAGACAGTTGACTTTCAGCTAGTTTTGTACACGATCTCTTCGTAGTATGACTTCCCTACGAGCCCTCGACATACTTCCATTAGGAAGGATCACAGAGCACATTACTCTCCCGATCCTTTTTACTCTTCTTAATTCCCCTATCTGGCTTGTACTTCACTGGTGGTGGACACATATAAGTTTTGGATGAATGTGTTAGTTTCTAAATTTTTTTCTTCACCATCCTCTAACCTACAATATCTAATGTATTAGAATACCTCTTCTACTCTTCACACTCTTCTTCTAAATCCATTTGTGTCCTACTAACTTCTTGAGTGACCTCATGCTCTTCAATGTATAATTTCTTCTAAAATACATAAATCAATTTTAACGAAATAGACTCACTCACCTTATATTTGAAGACCTGCAAGTTGACACACACAAGGTAACCATGTGTTGTTCTAATGAAGCAACCACATGTATCTTTGTCAGAAACAACATATTTTGCTCTTTCTAGCTCCTTTAAAATATGCTGTATAGAATATCTTGAAACAAAATCGTGCAATCCGAAGTAAAATAGAATGTTATACTGATGCTCAATATTAACATTTTTTTGAAATGACATTTTGGATTGATGAATGATACAATTTCTACATATTAGTATGATTTTCAAGTAAGATGAAAGAAAGGAAAAGTTGGTTTTACAATAACCAAAACGTGGAAAAACAAGTGAGGAATATTTGACTTTTTGACTAAAAAGAGTTTAGTATAGAAATTGGCTTTTAAGTGTGAGAAATTATGTTAGAAATAGTGTATGGGGATTTGTGTGAAAAAAAAGTGTACCGTAGGTTATAAAATGTGTAGCATCTAATTGTTGATAATTGTTCTTAGCCGTTCAAGACAACAATGATTTAAGATAATTTTTATGAGAAAAATTTTAAGTGTTCTGTTTAAGATAAAATTCTAATGATTGATTGTAAAATTTATAAGTGTGAAATTCGTAGATTTTTGTAGATGAAAATTTATGATGAAATTTATAGATTTGAAATTAAGTTAAAAAACATGAAAAGTAAGTTTATCTAAAACAAATGAAAAGTTTAAAGTTATTTTTGCATTAAATCAAATATTTTTTAAAAATAAAAATTTTAATATTAAAATATTAATAAGAAAAACGAATTTTTTTTAATAAAATAATTCAAAAATATTTTTTTAATGATTTTTTTTAAAATAATGACAAAATGAAAGGAAATTGAAATAGATAAAAATATAAAATTGTGGAAGGTGGAATTTGAACACAAGACTTTTCACTTGTAAACCTTACTCTCTTACCAATTGTGTTATGTCATTCTATTCGAAATAAAAAGGCACATGAAAGTATATGAAAGGCAAGCGAGTATTATCTTTTTAAGAAATACAAATAATTTAAAATAAATTATTATGTATATTTTTTAAATAAGCAAACAAATATTTATAGAACCCCAAAATGTTATTGTAAATAAACCAAAAGAATTTTATAAAACCCAAATTTAAAAATAATTTCGACTGTAGCACCAAGGCGAGCAAATTTGGAGTATGATAGTGTGTCGCTCGCGTCATCGCCAAACGATGTAAGAGCGAGGGTGTATCGCCAGGCGAGCAAGATGCGTCGCCGGGCGATGGAGGCCATAGAAGAATTGGTGGACTGTCACTCCTATGTCGCCCGACGAAGCTTTAGGCGATGGACAATAGTAGGATTTTCAATGTGCCATAATTTGAGTTTTAGAACTCGGTTTGAGGTGTCGTTCGAAGCATTGAATAGTTAACGCGATGAAATTTAATTAGGTGGAATAAAATGAGTAATAAGATATATATTTACAATACCTAAATTAGGATGAAGTTAGGTTTCCCTGTGTTAGGTTGCATTAATGCGTGTTTTATGGTGAGTTGTTGATATTGTGATGATACTATGTTGTTTCTATGATGATATGATAATGTTGTAATGATGCTTTGTATATTATGATGTATGCGATGAATTCATGGATGATGATGCATTTTGACCAGCCGTGGTTGTGTTTATTATGTTGTTGTCCATCATGCATTCATGGCATAGTTTAGGACTTCGGTCCGGTGATGTTGTTAACACTTTGGTCCAATGATGTTAGGATTTTGGTCCAGTGATGATGATAGGTTGATAGTTCAGTGAAGGCATCAATCCCATAATGTGAATTGAATGCAATATTATGAAGTGCTCTAGTTCCAAGTGGGAATTGATCCTATTGATAGAGATCTTTGGAGAAAATAATAATTGAGTCATCAGTGAAGTTTTGGTACCACATGCATGAGTCTATGACATTATATCATATTATATGTGACATTGCATAATGATTTTATTAAGTGATGTTGATGATTAGTGTTGTTGTGTATTGATGATGTTTGTGAAAGTGTGAGTATAACATGAGGTTCTGATGATGTGTGATGTCTTGCCTATATGCATATCTACTATATTTATTCATTATGTATTTTATAATAATTATGATTACTCACCTTTTCTGCTTAGAAATGTTGCCTCTATCTGTGGATAACTTGCAGGTGATCAGGAATAGTCCGTTGAAGCTTAGAAAATAGCTTCGGAGTGAGTGTATTTAAGATCGGGGTATTGGGATCGATTGATTTGAACTATATGTTCTTTATGTTATGTTGTTGGAGAACGTTTATTTTGTTTTAAGATGTTTTGGAGTATAAACTCACAAACCATGTTGAGAGATGGTATTTGATTGTGAAGTACTAATAAAGATGTTTTGAAATATTTTTTCCTCTGCAATGTGTTGAATTAACAATGATATTGTTAAAGGAATATGCATTTAAAATAATGAAAACCCGTGTTAAGAATCAAGATATTTTATTATGATGTTTTATATGAAGATGTGACACCATTGAATGATGAATTACTCCGATCTATTTGTTATTCGTGGGGTTTTAGAAGGGTGTTACATTAGTGGTATCAGAGCATGTCGGCCCGTCCGACATAGTTTTCTTATGATGAACATGTCTTGTTAGTCGATTAGTGTGAATACACTATCGATGCATTGTTCCTAATATTAGTTTTCTGTATGTAGAATGGTTGGAAGGAACGATACTGCACTTACTGCTGCTTTGCAGGTTTCTTCTCAGGCTGTTCAACATCAACCTAATGATGGATC